GATATCACCAGCTGAAAAGATGTTTAGCATTAAAAACCATATAATTATGTGTCACAATAGCTACTTTATCTGTCCTGAGTTAATACTTATTCTTTCGAGCAAATAGTAGATAGCTTCATTAAGAGGACTGACCGACAGACTGACACTATTTTTTATTAAGTTTTGTTTGACGTTCAAAAGTACCTGTTAAGGGTTAGAACTTTGGCTTCAGCTGCTTATCAAACAATTATGCAGTCTGTGCGGTAGCTTTTACACGTACCGGATTGTTTTACGTACATTTTCCACCTGAACCGACTGTCCGGGAACCGGAGCGGCGAAATACCCAACAGCATTGATATAGTATTAACTCAATATTTCTTAGTTCACAGATTACAGTAGTTATTAGACGGGTTCTGACACTAGCACAAGCTTTATTTAATTAGTTTATTGCCTTACTGATAACTACCTTACTTAGATAGCGAATAGTGTTGGGATTTGCGAAATCCGACGTCAGCCTCGGTTAGGGCTCGATAATCGAATTTAAGAACCTGTATTCGGATAAATATCCGATTTGTTAGTGTTGTTGTAGTTTACAAGCTGTTTCTAATGTTGATTTCGCATTGTTTTGTTCAAATGTGGTATTTATTTTGCTCGTGTAACGGACTTCAGGTATTGGTTTCTTTATATTTGTGAGAACTTGAAAACTTTGTTTCATATAATGTACCAAACAACTGAATCTATATAACATATTAAAATCTAGAGATTACTTTTGTATGATTTTCTTTTTCTTCTTATAAATTATGTTTACCTACGTACATACGCATGTACATAATCTATATTAAACAAAACGTATTCTTGATAAGTTAAATAAATATTTATAGATGTCGATAACATAAAGATGGTAATTAAATAAAAGAAAAGTCATGTACAATTACAATTTTTAATATTTAAATAAGGATTTATTATTTATCTGCACGTTTTTCATTGTTTTCCGTGTGTAAGATAAAGTTTTTATTTTATTATGTGTATGTTAAAAATATACTGTTAAAGGAGAGACGATTAAAAACATGTTTCAACTTGAAAATCTTTGTGTTTTTGTCTGGTTTTAGCATTCGACTAAGGCGTCATTTACATTATTTGACTGCATCACAAATATTGACTACTAGCTACTCTCGCGCGGTTTCACCTGCTGCTCCATTTAATCCTAGCGTGATGTTTTATAGCCTATAGCACTCAGGAAAATTGTAGCTATCTATCAGTGAAAGAATTTTGGCAATCCGATCAGCGGTTCCAAAGGTTACCCCCTACATACAAACTTACAAATTTTACCTCTTTATAATAATAGTGTAGATGATATATTTAAACGAGTTTATCAGTATAAGTTAATGATAGCCCTCAATTTTCCAACGCCTGAAAGAGGCAGTTTAGTTTGTGTCTTTTAATTTCTTTTAAGACCCCTGTATATTACCTTAACGTTCCAAAAAAGAATTTGATTTGATTTTCATCCAATTTAGTAATTTATTCGCTAAAAAGTAACAAATATCCATACACATACCTAATACAATTACATCACCTTACTAAAATTCTACATACGATATCTGTTAATCAAATTTACAATTATCACAGCAATTAACATAAATATTGTTTCTGTCGGGCCAATATCGATTTATGCATCGATAAACTGAAATAACACGGTGACAAAACAATTTACGGTACAGCTGTCCCAATATATTCGATTCATATCTTTTGCATTGTATTCCGGTATCGATAAGCGATAATACAAGTGCAACAAATATAAACAAATTGATCTATTTATTGATATTGAATTACGAAATGAAATCACGCCCTCTTTTGGCCCTCACAGAGTACTTACACCTGCCTCTCATAATGGACCACATTTAACAGGGTATATGAACTTATTGAATAACAATAACATATTCAAATTTGTTCGGAGTAAAATCCATAGAAATTTACATGTAGTGAAATATTTTAAGTTTAATTGTGTGAGATCCTTTTTTCGGCACGAATGAGTGAAACTACCACAGGTTGCTTACCGTCTGGTAATCCGTGTAGGTACTCGTCTGCTGCCATATCACATAAAGATTTAGGTACTATTGCTCTGGCCTCTGGCAGATCCAAGATTTCTTGATTGGCAGTTACATTTACAAGCCTTAGTGCAACTAGGAAACCGGCCTCACAGAAAACCGGCGTGAAACAACCACAGCGTTGTGTTTTGCCGTGTGAATGAGGTTACCGGAGGCCCAATCCTTCCCCGCCCCCAATCCCTAAATCTCCAAAACCCTAATCCCTAAAAGGTACACAACGCATTCCTAATTCCGTCTGCCCGTTTGCCGACCTAACATAAAAAAAAAACTAGGCAGTCTAGGTGAGCAGTCTGCATTGAAGACTTGCATTAGGTTTATGACGCTACCTTCTTATATGGCCGTGGCTAGTTAAATATGCAAATGCGAAACTCACACGCATACAGGCGAAGTATGCAGTAACCGTTAAGTAAATTAGTGGTCATTTGTAAACTGATAAACTAATCTTAGACAGGTTTGCATTTAACTGTTAAGAAATTAGTATGTAGTCATCACGTATTCATTCACAATTCAAATCTTATCATAAACTTCGGTATGTTTGAAGGGTAAGACAGAGGGACTCATTATAGATTTAAAAACTTATGTTGTAAAAAGCTAATATGTTTGTACGGACTCTGTTATCAATTTGACAACCAAGAATCTTTATTCTAGAAATCTGTATTCTCTATTAGTTCTGTGTATATCACACTAGGGACACGGCTTCGCATAGGTGCAATTCTGATACTAAATTTGTCCATTATTTAATGGATGTTATTATACATGTAAACCTTCCTCTTCAACTGCTCTACTGCAGACCATGTACTTAAAGCGGCATTTTAATTTAAACTATCTATACTAATATTATAAATGCGAAAGTAACTCGTCTGTCTCTCTGTCTTTTCTACACGCCTAAACTACTGAACCGAAGGACGTAGGATAGTTTTTATACCAAAAATCTGACTTCCTGGAAACTATTGTTTTATAAAAAGAAAAACAAGTTTCAATCTTAAGATTTAAAGAAAGTAATCTCTTTTCAAACAGCAAAAAACTTACATGACACAACGCTATCAACCAACATTTACAAAGATCCGCAGATAAAACAAACCGTGTATATTTATCCGAAGTACACACACATCCCACGTCACTCGATGTTGCGAAATGATTCCCACACATGTATTTAAACGTCATCCAACCTCATACAATGTATCAAAACTAATTGTTCAAACTACACGTGCTCGCGTTTACGTGTCAGTGGACAACTATTGTTTAATAAAATGAAGATCTTTGAATTTAAAAACATGAGTTTATTGATTTCGTGTTTGTATTAAAATTGTTAGATGTTTCCTTTTTCTGATTTTGTTTTATATTTGCGGAACTTGATCGTAAGGTAACTGCGCCGCATAGACATCCGTTGTAGGAAGTGCGTTTTCAGCTTTTTGGGGAAGGGGTTTAATGGGACCCAACGCCTGAGTGTCGCCACAGCAAGGACCAGCCAGAGGGAAAGGTAGAGCATACGGTGATAGAGTGCCCTGTTTGATCTGTGAACCTCCGTATCCTCGGAGAAGCTATCGGCGGCGGCCTTAGGCTAGGCTATTGTGCGTAGCAAAAAGATGATCAAAAAAGTCCTTTACGTGGGCTTGACAGAGTTTGACGTTTTGTTTATATGGGGTTTGTTTTTTACGAATTGTATCATATCTATACTATCTATACCAAAATTATAGAGGTAAAATTTTTAAGTTTGTATGTACGGGGTAATCTTTGGAATCGCTGCTCGGATTTCCAAAATTCTTTCATTGATAGATAGCTACAATGTTCCTGAGTGCTGTAGGTTATAAAACTATTAACTATATAAATTTCACTTTTTAATTATTATTTACCGAATATATTATTGATATTAAATTGCAGGTTATGTATGCATTGTCATCCTCTGTCATACAATGTATCAATACTTATTGTTGACACTACACGCGTTCGAGTTATGTGTCAGTCGACAACCCTACACAGATTGATAGATAATAGCAAGATCAATGATCAATTATGTCATTTGTTTTGATAAAAACATGTGTTGCTTCGTTTTTAAACGCGTGTCAGGCTTATCCGGGTGTAGGTTAGTATTCTTAGACGTCGCTTGTAATTAGTAAATTAATTTGATGTTTTAGTTTGTGTGAAATAGTGAGTCTGGCTTCATACTCCAATTTTAATAATTCTTTTTTAGGAGTGCTAAGTGATTAGCTTCTGGATTTTTATGGGTAAAAATACTTCAAAGTATTTTCAGCTGTGAGAAATCTATTTAAATGAAAAGAAATTTAAAAAAAAATCTTGATATATTAACGTTTACTAACACTCCCTGTAAGTACCTTCATCCAAAGCCAGGGCTTGCATGCACCCTTTATTTTTTTGACTAATACTTACATTGTCGTCTGACAATTGAATTAATTTTTTTTCCTCTGTATAAACTGTTTTAGTGTTATGTGTCGTACTCTTAGGATCATTGTTTAGTATTGTAAGTCGTTATTAACTGGAATTTGTTTTTACACTTCTTGACGCCTATTTATTACACCACTTAAGCGCCATGTACTACTAGGACTTTAAAACTGCAAATATCGTCTTATTTCATAGTAGATGCTTTCAGTCTACAATAAATTAACACAAATACTTTGACTTTTACTTTGAACCATCTACGACTGTACCTGCTATTATTTTATTCAAAACAGAAGTATAGGCATTGGCAAGTCCGAATATTGAATATAATATGACGTCAGAACCCAAATTATTGAAACTAAACCTTAACTAATAATAAACAAAGACGCTATTTTCGAAAAGCTACAGGTTGACTTAGTTTAGCGGTAGTTGTGAGATACAAGCGTATTGTCCACAACATTTCTCGCAGCACGGTCCTTGTTTTGTAAACATCCTTATAACATTAGTTCATTACTGCAGGTCTTACCACCAAATGAAACGCACAGACAACAATATTAACGGACAGACTGTGAATCAGAACAATAACAACGATATAAAAAGGTGATGAACAAAGTGTGAATAAGTGTGTTTTTGTGTGCGATTCTGTCGAGTCGCGTGTGATTGTCGTATCGGTGGTGTGGTGTCGTGTCGTGTCGTGATAGGTGTATCGGCGCGTCGCCAATGCGCCGGCGGCGGTTGCAGGATGTCGCCGGCGCGTGCGCTGCTGGCGGCCCTGCTTATATTTCAACTGCTGTCGTACGGTGGCCACCAAGGACTCACCAAGATATTTTGCACGTAAGACACTGTTTTATCTTAACATGTGATAATGCTGTACATATTTTTATGAAGGTCCTTCGAAGAAAACTAGCTAGGCTAGTGTGAAATGTGATATTGTTATTAATTTCTTAGCAAATAAGACTTGGAAATAATATTTAGTAAAAATAAGTTCTTTGACAATTTGAGTTGATAAACAGGTTATACTCAACTAATAAAAGCTGATAACTTTGACTGCACGGTTGGCGCGGTGGCTGGGCAACTGGCTGCGGTGCAACGTGTCGCGGGTTCGATTCCCACACGGTACAACTATTTGTGTGATCTACAAATTGTAGTTCTGTCTCTAGGTGTGATGTGTATGTGAAATTGTATGTTTGTAAACGCATCCACGACATAGAAAAGAAATCATAGTGTAGAGCAACATGTTTAAAAGAAAAAAAAAAACAAACTAAAGAATTCTATTATTGTCATCCGCAAAGTCTAAAACTTATTATTTTTACAACAATTTCTATTTTTCGATCCAAGGCTGGCCACACCTCGGTGCCAAGGTTGGCAAAATTCGTGTTTCATATTTCAAACTATGTCGAATGACATATTGACAGCGTGTAATGTAAAACTTTGCATTCTTATGTTTTTCAAATATTATGTACTGGTTAAAAAATGAAGGTTATCTTGTTATATTATATCAAAGAATTATGATATTTACCTTCACACATGCATTTGTGTCAGAAATACTTAGGAACTAACTAATCAAACACAATGTACAGTACGGCCGACGAATCTTGGCGAGTATGAAGTTAGCCGATTAGCTGCGCAGTACACAATTTTGTTCCTAAAAGATCCATTGCGCAGACAACAATACGTTGGCGGTGTTGTAAGATAGGTTTACCCAAATCTTAAATTCAGTCTACTAAAATAAAAGTATAGTTGGCACAGTGAATGGGTAAAACTGACTGCTGCGCAAGGAGCCGCGTGTCCGATTCCCGAATGTTTCTAAACCCGCCCTCGACACAGGAGAAATACAATCGCGCGTAGCGTTCCGCGCGCGCCTCAAACAGCCAATAGTATACCACAGACGGGGCCCTATAGGGCTGATCAGCCGGGGTTGCGGGGTAAGCGCAAGCGCGCAAGGCACCGCGACCTCGGTCCAGAGCAAGGGAAGGGAGGATTTTAGTCAGTAACAGTCTGTCCCTCCGGCCCGGCCCTGGGCGGGAGAAGTCATTTGATGATTTTCCACTCACAAAAAAAGAGAATGAAGCAACGGTGAACTGAGCTGATCTTTAAAAAGATCAGGGCAGTAGAAAATTGTTACGGCTCATGAACAGTAACACTTGAGGAGTCACAAGTGCCTTACCCGCCTTTTGGAGATAATGAGTTTTAGGGATTAATGGTGTAGAGAAGGTCAGAGGAGAAGAAGGATTGGGCCGCCGCTCACAGTGAAACACAACCTTGTGGTTGTGTTACGCCGGTTTTCTCTGAGTCCGTGGTATTACTCTGGTCGAACTGGCTCATTCCTGCAGAAGCATAGCTCTCCCACACATAAAAGTGTTCTTTAACTCTCTTTCCTTTTTAACAATATGTTTTATTTACATACATTGCCAAACTAAAGAGAATGTTTGTTTGAAACACGAGCCCGTAGTCAAAATATACCAAGTGAATCATTAACCACCACTCATACATATCTCTTGTTTTATATACTACAAATGAATCATACGAACATGAAGTTATGTATCTTGCTTTTTAATAGATATTGCAGAAATCACACCCCGTAACGAATACTGATTATTCAAGTGTTGTTTTTTTTACATAGTTTTAAATGTTGAGATTTTATATTACATATCAATGTTGATAATGTATAAAAATCCTATTTTATTTGAGTTTATTTTTTTTAAATAAACAAAACCTTGTGACCTGCGATTACATTTGTGATTGGAATTAGTTCCATTCGTATCATGAGCCATTTTTTTTACTTCCTGATCTATTAAATTACTTAAAACTGATAATTATATTTCCTATATTTGCCTCTCTTATAGATTGTATACAATTTCGTACACCTACCGCTTGTTGTAAAGTAATTGAATGACAGTTTCGACAGAGTTTGAAATTTGAGACGAAGGTTTAATATCTGCGGCGACAGTATCAGATTTTAGCGATATTCAACGTGAATTTATGTCTCAAATTTTAATTGTATATTTTGTATTTTGAATAATGTCTTCTTGTTCTACATTTTATAATAAAAGCTTAGTTTTTTTGGTGTTTTGAATGTCAAGTTCACTCACCATAATTGCAATTATTATGTCGCACCTTTTGGATAAAACAGTTATCTTTTTAGCGATGTCCAAAAAATATTTATTGATTTGAAACCCTGTTTCACAATGTCTAAATAGCCGCTATCTACCAGATACCTTTGAACATAAAACGTAATTTGTATGAACTATGCGCCATGTATGGTCATCGGAAACCTGTATGTATAAAGATGGAGAAATAGGAGCTTAGTATAGACACAAAAAAAATATCAAATAAAAACGAAACCTCTTGACCCATTCCTTCAGTACCTACGTCTGAAGATTTGATGATTGTGATGCTGTAACGAGTAATCATGAAAATTGTCTCCAATTACGTTTCATTGTAGCTCGAGACCTTGAACCCAATTTGAGGCTTAAGTAAAGAAAGGGAATAAATAGACTTGCTTACCAAACAAAATAATTTACTTGGGTATTTTTATAATACGAAAAAGATTTTGCTAATGTATTCGTGGTAATCTTTAACTTCAATTGTTAGCTATTATGCGGCCTAGATAAATGATAAAAATAATCCAGAGACGATATTTCATGAGCTTTCGTCTTAAGAGAAGTAGTAAGTAGTACAGAAAAAATAGGTGCATAAAGGTAGTATAACATAAAGGTTATATATCAATATATAAGGCACAGCATAAAGGATCGACTGCCCAAGTAGATGACGAGATTTTTCAATTTTCAAATTCTTATCGCATAAAAACAAATGTGGTGTAATTTTATTTCTACCTCTCTTTAACGAAGCTGTCGCCATGTTGATATCAAGTCCATCGACCCACCATTACATCTTGAAATCATAATATCAACTTTTAGTACTGAACAACGGCTAATTGTTTCAATTGAATACCGTCTATTCCGACCAATGATCATAAATTGTGACAAATTTAAATCAAATTGTTGTCGACTCTCTCACTCTCTTCAACGTACAGGTTGTGTGAGAAAGAGATAATTGTACTTCCCCCTGTTACACATATGTATGTGTAAGGAGCGCCTTGTCTGCTTATTCGAAGGAATGCGGCTGATTTATTGTAACCTATTGTAACGTGTAATTCTAAGTTTATGTAATTTTAAGATTTCTAAGGTTCGGAACGTGTTTATCGAAAGTTATTTGAACGGCATTACATGTTTATTATTTTTATAGAAATTTTGCACCAACCAGTAGATAGTAGTTTAGCCAAGTACGGATGTCATTCAAAAGAACATTGAAGAATTTAATTTTTTCAGAGTTAACCTGCGAATAGGAATACAAAACTAATAGTAGTTGTAGCTAAGACTCAGTACGGTCGTATTTTCTCTGTTCAATATGTATAATTTCTAATTTACGATGCCGGTTTGAATATTACATACTGATTCATTAAATAAGCTATCAAACGAACTGTTTATGATGTAATTTCGTTCTTTATGTTTTATGCAACATAAAAATAGCGACTTGCTACGTTTCATTTGCGTTAAAAAACCCCAGACTAATCACTTTACAAAGGCCATTTTCTCACATTAGTTTATTTTCTATTTTTCAGGTTACCTGACACCGGGCAGCCACCAGTGCTCATATCGCTAGCAGACAACGCCAAATTGGAATTGAGGCATCCAGACGAACTATTGTTCGTCAACGACTCTGAGGAACACAATGATACCAAGATATTCTCCATCATTGACGGCGATGCCGTTGAAGATGACGCAGATAAACCATCGGAAGACGTGGAGAAGGAAAGCACAGAACCACGGCTCGTCGTCAAAGCCAAGCCAGTTCATGAGATCAGACAAGTTGAGGAACCATTTCAGGCACCTCTAGTAGACACAGAAGCTGCCACAGAATCTCAAACAGAGGAACCAAGAGAACAAGAATTAGAAAACATTCCAGTTAAACCAGAGACGCCCCAAGAGGATATTCCATCGTTTTCAGAGTGGGCACAAAAACAGCTGGCCGAAGCCGAGAAAAAAGACACAGTACTGAACCACTCGAGTCAACCTAGTCATAGTAATACGAATTTTAGTAGTAAAAGCACTAAATTGCGATCGAAGAACTACGCTTCGCTCGCGTGCGGCGCCAAGATCGTCGCCGTCAATCCCGAGGCCGGCTCGGCCAGCTCCATCCTCTCGCCCAACAGGGACGAGTACATGCTCAACACGTGCAACAGCCGCATTTGGTTCGTCGTGGAGCTCTGCGAGGCTGTTCAAGCGCAGAAGATTGAAATAGCTAACTTTGAGCTATTCTCATCAACTCCCAAAGAATTCACTGTTTATTTCAGTGACCGGTTCCCTACCCGGGACTGGGCTAGCGTCGGCCAGTTCACGGCGCAAGATATGAGAGACGTACAAAGTTTTGATCTGTACCCGCATTTATTTGGAAAATTTATAAAAGTCGAAATGCTCTCGCATCACGGCTCTGAGCACTACTGCCCCATATCTCTGTTCAAAGTTTACGGCACTTCAGAATTCGAAGTTTTAGAAAAAGAGAATTCGCAGCATCCCGCTCACATTGATGAGGATGAAGATGATGAAATAATAGACGTGCCAGACATACCCGCTGCCGAAACAGAACCATCCAAGAACTTGTTCGGCTCAGCGAGAGACGCCGTGATGTCTATCATGAAGAAAGCGGCACAAGCTCTAGTGAAAACTGAAGTTCCTAAAAATGTGTCCTCAGAACACAACGATACGTCAACAGACAAAACGTACAAACGGTGTTGTTCGCCCAGCCATATAATCGTGTGTGATAATTGCAGTGAGACGCTTTACAGTGAAGTGTACGAACTGATTAGCTGTAGCTCAGACAAGTTAGTGAGTTTAGTGCGTCAGGTGTTCCTCCGCGAGACTTTGAAGTGTACTGGCATCTGTCAGCCGTACGGACTAGATTTTAAAAGTACAAAGACAATAGAGTTTAGTGATGAACGTGTCGCTTATATAAATGCTTTATTCCCTCAGAAATATTTAGCCGCCCTTTGTAATATTTTAGCTATTAAAGAAAAGAAAGTTGTTTTGAACACCAGTTTTGAAACGGAACTGAATGTTACCACGAATATAACTGTTGATGAGTCGCCACAGACTGTAAATAGTGAAACCAATTCCGCACTGGACATAAAATTAATTCCAGATAAACAGACAATTTCTGAAGACGATAAAACCAACGAAACATCGCCATCAGAAGAGAAAACATTCACAGAGGCAGTGACGGAAGGTACGACCGGAACCGTGGAGATGCCGAAAGAACAACACGAAACAATTGATGAAAAGATTGAAGAGACTCCTTCAGTTGAAGAGAAACCAGTGCCAGAGATACCAGAGGCGTTACCAGAAGTCGATAAGAGTACTGAAGCCGTAGCTGATGAAAACAAAGATGTCGTTCAAAAGAGTGAACCGAAAAATGGCAAAGTCGAAGTCTCCATTGAAAAGCCGAAAGAAAACAATGTTGTTGAAGAAGTAACTGATTCGATTATCATCGACAATGAGAACTTTATGTCGGACTTCGACCAGATGGCGGTGGACCCAACTCCGGCCGGAGTACCAACATCACAGAACCAGAATCAGGGCCAGGCGACGCTGCAGAAGGAATCTGTCTTTCTGAGGCTTTCCAATAGAGTGAAGGTTAGTTGTAACTTTTTAGCATTCAAATTCAATATAAATTATGCAAGATTATTTTTAGACAAACGTGAAATTAATGAATGATATCAGTTAATTTTGCCAAATTAGGGATTCTAAGTATTATAAAGGAGCCTCAAATGACCAATAGACTACCGTAGATGGGCCCAAAAGGGCCGATGTTCAGCCGTTGCTGCGGGTAAGCGCAATAAGGTACAACAGCCGTGGCCTGGAGCAGGAGAAGGGACAGGAGGTTTTTAGTCAGTAATGGTCTGACTGGGGGAGGCCTATGTTCAACAGTGGACGTCCTATGGCTGATATGATGATGATGTCAATAGTCTGACACTATTACTGTGTCGCTTACTCGCCTCATCTGGGCGACAGAAGTCACTTGACATTCCCCTCATAAAAAAACACTATAAACAAATAATATTCCAACCATGTCCACCTTTAATAAAAAAAAATGCGTGTAAAAATCAGCTTTGCATTGGTCCACTAAACTATGTTAACATTTAATATTTGTATCTTTACTATTAAATATTGTGTTCCAGACGCTGGAGCGCAACATGTCTCTATCGGGTCAATACCTGGAAGAGCTGAGCCGGCGTTACAAGAAGCAAGTGGAAGAAATGCAGAAGACCTTCGAGAAAACCGTACAGCAGATGACAGAGGAACGACGAAAGAGCAACGAGCGGGAACAGAAGTACCTCGAACAGATGACTAGCCTCCAGGAGCAACTAGGACAAGTGGCCGCAGCCATGCACATTCTCATGGAGGAGCGAGACAGCTGGTTTGGCAACATCAATTTCTTTAAATTCATCGTGTTCCAGTCTATCATTTTTGCCATAGCCTTTTATTTATTCTCCAGAAGACGGAAACCTGAACCGGTTCTTGTACCAATAGTAAAAAAGACCAAAAAGAAACAAGACAAGTTTAGAAGAAAATCTGTTGAAGGCGTCAGTGGACATGAGACTCCTTCAGCAAAGAAACGACGGCCCAGTGAGGAAGCTTTACAGATAGCGAGACAGTCCACTGGGGAAACCAGCAGAGAAGAAGATGATGGTGAGTGGCAAGTGGCTCGCAAGAACAGAAGAAGAAAAACATCAATTGTGCACAGGGCTGGGGAGACAGAGCTCAAAGAATGGACGCGACCTGACAGCATTGGGAAGCTTCAAGATAATCCTATACCATTAGACGAGGAGGAGTTCTTCGCCCCAGTATCTGAACCAAAAGAGTTCAGTGAAAGTGAAGTATCCAATCCTCCAAAACAGAACCTACCTAAGACAAATGGTTCGTTTTTCAACAACTTAAAGACTAAGACGATGAAAACGCGTCGGCTGTCGTCACCGGCATTCTTGAGGACCCTGAGTAGGCAGAGTAGCCGGAGCACGCCCAGCCCTGTCGTGAGGACATTGGAGCCCGTGTACAATGGCAACCTGAACAAGAAAGCGGCCTCCGAGTCCCCGACCGGTAGTCTCTGGTCAGAATCCACAGAAATATCTCAGAACGGACAACAAGAAAACGAAAGCAGTGGGAAAAAGAAGAAAAGCCTTAAGAACATTCTGAAGAAAGTGTTTTGAGGGACAATTTGACAATTTATTTGTAATTTAACAGTGTCGTGTATTCCGCTTAAAGTATTAAGCGTGTCGCTATTGTAATTTATTTCATTGCGAATATTAATGTTTAAATTATTGTATATTTGTTGTTAGTAGACCTCATAGGTGCCAATTGTGATAAATTAGGGAGCCTAATTGTTAGCGTGTTAAATTATAATTTTATGCGATGATGCCTGCTTGTGGATGAGTTGAATGGCGACAATAATGAGAAATTGGTAAGACGAGTGCTAGTCTCGAGTGGGGAGCGATCGGTAAACAAAGAAACGGCATTAAATGCATTACTTTTATTCTCTGGTTTCATTTCTTAACAAACTTACATTACAATATACAAATTAAAATTAATTAATATATCACTAGTTGAATAAATCCTCTTTTTACCCGTTATTCCCTGAAAGAGTAACAGACTAAGCCAGATATGTTATTAGTCCCCTGAGCAATTAATTACAGAATGACAATACCCATTTAGCTAGCCTTTTTTGTGGTATATGTCGGTAAACGAGCAGACGGATTACCTGATGGTAAGCAATCGGCACCGCCCATGGATATCCGCAACACCAAGGGAGTTACGAGTGCGTTGCCGGCCTTTTGGGGATAGGGTTTTTTTTTGTGAGGGGAAAATCATCAAATGACTTCTCCCGCCCAGGGCCGGGCGGGAGGGAGTGTCAGACTTACTGACTAAAAAACCCCCTGTTCCTTCTCCTGCTCTGGGCCGAGGTCGCGGTGCCTCATTGCGCTTACCCCGCAACCCCGGCTGAACATCAGCCCTATAGGGCCCCGTCTGTGGTGGTCTATAGGCTCTTTGAGGCGCGCGCGGAACGCTACGCGCCGTACGCTCGGGCCTGGTTCTGGTCGGGTGGCGAGCTGCCCTTACTCGCCGACCCGTGCTTACGGTGGCCGGAGATCGTCCCTTGATCCCCGACGCCCGTAGTGTCGCCAGTTGCGGCGGCTGGGGCGTGAGGAGGAGGATTGCTCCCTCACGCGGGCTGCCTCTCTCTTTGCGAGCATGACTGCTTCACAAAAGGAGAAGACGGCGTCCCAGTTCCTCTGTAGTCCAGAGTATTTTGAGTACCGGTCATATAAAAGATACTTTGGTAATGTTTTTCATATCTTTATGATGTCTGACATATTATCTGGCCTTTGATATTCATAATGAAATGTAAATAAATGAACAACAAGCTTTTTAACAACAGTTAAGCTATTATTTCAAGGCGTACAAGGTTAGCGAAGAATATTGCAAATACGTTTCTGAGACTTATGCCATAGGATAGCAAAAGAGTAGCCTGATTACCTATGGTAAGCAATCGGGCCGCCCATAGACGCCAAAGTTTCGAGTGCGTTGCCGACCTTTTGAGGACCAGGGTTTCAGATATTTAGGAATTGGGCAACAAGGAATGGGCCTCCTATAATCTCACTCACACTATTTTTCGCTGGGGAATTTTGTGTAGCTGTGGTATCCCTCCGGTCGAGCTCCAGCTCGTATAGGTCGGCTCGTCCACACTTTCTTTCATTTTCATTTCGGAGATTTTGAAATCGAGAAGTAGTTTTCGGATTGCTCGACATGGAGACTGAATATAAGATCACGTAACAAGGAGTTCAGAAAGAACCTCTAAATCTCGAGATGTATCAAGCTTTTTAAGTGGATGGTACATTGCTTGTCTATTTTTTAATTACCTATAATGTAATTTTAGTTTTCCTGACTCTTGGTGCAAGATCTTGTCATGCCAGGTGCTCCAATGCTAGTAGAGTTCTATCGTACAACTAAATTATTGGTATTTTCAGCTCTGATTGAGATCTATGAGTCACATACCCAAAGGATAGGAGAAGGTAGGTAATGACCCTCAATAGGTAGTTCAGGAAGAAGCATTCGCTTATACTGGGGTTGGCAACCGCAATTATGTACTGCGGCCCCAGACCGGAGCAGGAGAAGGGGCTGGTTTTTACTCAGTAATACACTCCATCTTCCACCCAGGATGACAGAAATCAGTTGATGATTTTCTCTTTCAACAAAGCATTTTCAAATACGTTACGATATTATGAAAACATTATTAGATCATTATAACTGTAGGTTTCAAAGGTCGAATACGCTTGCTGAATAAGTGGTCCTAGGATTGATTGTCGGGATATGCCAATTTTTTCGTTAGGGTTTGTTTCTGAATTTTTCAATAATTTTCAGTAACGTTGTGTAAGTATATACATATATAAAAATGGTAGCTCTTTTTGCAGCATTTTTTGCTCACGGTAATTAGGCAAAAGGACAAATTCTCAAAAGAATGTAGCTGTTAAAAATGTTACTGCTATTGCTGTGACGCTAGTTAACTCACTACACTAACAATAGCCCCCATTAGTTCAGTCTAGCTAGCTAGCTTAGGATAAAAATAAATATAAAAACTATTTTCGGAAATGAAAACTATAATCAAATATCAATGTACAATTTTGGTTTTGTTTATCATTTTTTTCATCGTTGGGGGCAGGTGTGGCGTCCCCCTTACTTATTTTCTCTGTGGTATAATCGAAATATAGACTATAATAAGATAGATTATTCCTTTATTTTGAAACAATTCTTAGCAGTTGATCGAATAAAACAAATGTAATCTTTGAATCGATCAACTCATAAGATCAAGATGTCTTTCTACACGCAAGAGTCGAATGACGCCAAAACTTGAAAAGTGCACAATATTGAGCAAGACACGCTAACAACAAAAACAACGCTACCCTCAAGCTGTCAAATCTCTTCAATAGATTTAGGATTTAATTGCTTATTAAAAAAGTTCAGATTTGACAGGCTGAGAGTAGCTTGTGAACAAACTCACAATTTTAACATTCGTTGTATAGATAATTATTATTATCAATAAAAAGGATGTTCTTACGGAAAAATAAAAAAAAACATTACACTGCTGAGTTTTTCATTACATACTCGGATTGAGTCTTGACAATAATATAAAATGCGATTTTTTAAATGTCACTTTTATAATCTTTGAAAAATTTCAAACTGTTACTCTTAACTTAATCTTAGAATAGTAAATTAATTAAAATATGTTAATTACTCCTGTACACTAGTAGCGAAAAAGTTACTAGTTAAACGCTCACGGTCCTCATGAGTAGGACTCGTGACGAACATGAGCGTCCCGGTATGACTTGAAACTAGTCGAGCATTTCTCGAATAGTTACGAGAGGAAGCTGTACATTTAAATAAATTCTATATATGATACATTTCACGGTAGTAATCTTACTAAACTAATTAGAAGATATCTATGAAATAACAATAACGGATTGCAAGAAGTCTTTCAAATCTACGCATCGAATGTCAACAAGTTTCTTCTGGCGCGCGCTAGCGTTCAGATCTTTCACTGCCTTACCAAAATCATCAGTATTGTACATTTTATTACTGTTGCTGGCAAAGACGATTTCGTTTACTTCCTCATAGAGTTTCACTGTGGTCAAATGCTTGAAATGCCGCTTCAGAATGTCCATTATTGATTGTTGAAGGTCCACATCTCGGCATACTAAGTTAAGGATGAAATGACCTGGAATATAATTCAGTGGGTTATAGTTTCCATATCTCAATAACGTTATAAACACGAAAGTATGATGAAAATTGACGCAGTGATAATTTAACTTATAGTCTTGAATAACACAGGCAAATTTTCTTCTCTTTCTGTGTTTTTGTGTTTGTTGTTAGTAAGAACTATTCCACTACTAAGGTATATTTAAGATATACCAACATGTATAGAGTGTTAAAATAGGATATTTAATCTTTTGGCCTCATACAGCCTGAAAATATTATAACAAAACTAACTGTGGAGCCAAGAACAGAAATATAAAATAAACAAAGTGAAAGGAAAATAAATTAAAGTCCCACTATTGTTAAATGAATGAATTTTACGACATAAATGTTGGAATTTGTTAAGATTACTTTTAAGAAATAAATATGCTACAACATACTACCATACAAAATTTATTGAACATTCTCATACAATTTTTTTTGATATTGTATCCATAAAACAAATACGTTCACTCACCATCCTTCGTAAGCATACTCTTCACATCGTCCAGCACTTGGTTGTCCAGGAACTGCTTGGGCGGGCACGAGAGACCCACGGTTCGGTCCTTGCTGTCCATATCTAACATTACTGCTTCGTAGTGATTGCCTAGAGGAGGAAAATGATCTAATAAAACATTTTGAAATTTGGTGTTGTTCATTTTCCCTTTTAAGAAGAGATTTTGCTTTTCTTATACATACGTATATAGACATGCCTGTTACGTATTGTTTAAAATAATAGGAAGAGTGATAGGTGGTCATGATTTTTCAGGTCAAAATTAGCTGATGGTAAGCAATTTGCGCCGCTCATTGCCACTCGTAGTACCAAATGAGAACTACAAGTGCGTTACTAGCTTTTTGTGGACTATAGGGGATTTGTACCGGAAAGAATTTCAGCAATAGGCATTTCAACAATCATATTCGGTTTTCGGAGATTTTATTACAAGTTCATACAACGCGAAAGGACTTACCCCAACCTAACATAAAAAACATGTTCCAAAACTCACCTTTCTTAACCTCATCCTTTATAAAATCCAATCCATCTTTGATCTGTACTTCCAATTTATCATCAGTTTGGAGTTCAAAGTGATCCTTAGCGACTTCTAGCATGGCTGGGTCAAGGTCAACAGCTGTGACCTTAAGGTCATCGTAGCATTTCCTCAGGAACATGCAGAGGCTGCCCCCTCCAAGACCCAACACGGCCACGTTGGTGAACGCTGTCTTGGCTAGTTGGACTCCAACGCACATGAACGAATGGTACAAGGATATGTGACCAAAATCGACTACCAGTTTAGTTTTGTTCTTTCTTTTAACTGTAATTAGAAAAATATTATTATTAATTACATTTGAATTTTAAAAATATACTTTTTGGGTAGGAAAATTGTTCCTAATTCGAAATTACAAATAACGGAAATTCTTATGAAGATGAACCATAAACTAATTGCTTGGTTTTTCTAAACCTTCCTCGACTCTCTCTCTTTCTGAAGAGGATGACGATGTGTGACCTGTACCGTTGTTCCGGATCTGGATGTGATGTGTATTATGTTTTGAAACGCTTCCACGGCGTTATATGTTTAATTAGTTTTAAATTTAATTATAATAAAAATGGATCGCAAAATGTGTTGGTAAGAGCATAACTCAACAACGCCTGGACCAATTTTGCTAATTCTTTTTTTGTTATATTTGTTATTGTCAGGAGAAGGTTATTATCAAAGAAAATATTAGAAAAGTAGAGGGGAGGATTAGGGAAAAGTGACCCTTTGATAGCGAGATATCTGGACCCGTGCGAAGCGGGGGCGAGCCGCTAGTTTAATTATAATTACACCATTGACACGCGTTTGGCCACTATCTCGCCTGATGGTAAGCGATCATACGACCTACGATGAACCACGCCTATCCATAAGCAACCTATTCACTTTCATTTCATTTCTAGTATCGACTATGTACTCACCGCTTTTCAACTTAGCCTCAGACTGTACAAGAAACTGGTTATCCAAGAACACGAGCCTGCGATGAGTGGCGCCCTCTACGTCCACGTCTTCAACAACAAAGTCTCCGGAGAACTTCGAGTGTCCTTCAAATATCTTCACTCTTCTACCTACATCACTTCCGAGAGATAGGAACGGAATCTGTAAAAAACATTGAGGCTAATGTTACACGGTTTTAAAGAGGCGATGGAAGGGGGGGGGAGGAGTGCCAGACTATTTCTGACTAAAAACAACCTTCGTTCTCTTTCTCTAGGCCAGGGCACCCAAATACCCGGCTGATGAAGATGAAACGGTTATTGCGTTAATTTTGCTTATGAACCGAGTACGTAAAACTATGTATGTTAAGATGGTTGAAGATTGTCCAGTAGATGTTTTATGGGATATGTCGGGAAGCAAGCAGACAGTTCAGCAATCGGCGGTTACCAATGAGAACCACATCACTAAAGGGGTTTAAAACGCGTTAGTGACTTTAAAAGGATTCGGGGATTGGAGACAGAGGAGGGATGGGTGAAAGAAAGTTGCAATTATCAGGAAAATAAATTTTCAACATAGATGTTAGTGGTAACTAACGCCCGGAGAGATTTACAGACCTTTAAAAAACATGTTGGCCCTCTAGGTCCAACATGTTTTTTGAAGGTCAGAGTACTTTAACTAGCCTACTGGTATGGCTTCACGCATGTCCATGATGGAAGTCAGAGTTATCCCCTCTATCCCGCCAATCCCTAAATAGGCCGAAACCCTAATCCCGGAGTCTGGCAACGCACTGGTAACTCCTCTAGCATTGCGGGTGTCTATGCGCGGCTCTGATTACTACCATATGTTTTATATCGGCTCGTTTGCCGACATATCGCATAAAAAAAACATGCAAGGATATCATCAAGAGTACCTGTCCAGTCAATCCATACGGTATGAGCATCTTCGCGGCGTGCGCAAGTTCCTCCTTGACTGCCTCCAAGGATTCGAACTTGTGTCCTCTGCGGAGAACTGCTACAACCAACCTACCGAACCTGGCCGAGTCCTGCAGCTGTCGCCGACCTGCCGGTGTGCCGAATAACCACTCCGATTCTCTGGAATAAAGAAGAGAGGAACATTTTAAAATGGAACGAACAGAAATCGGAGAGTAATGATTTTATACTGACAACTAATCAAATCAATACAATTTTTCGGTTTAGGTGCATTAGGAATAATTCTCATTTTGGCAACCGACTCCCTGATGGACTACTTCTCATTTGGGCTACTTCTGATTAAGGCTACTTCTCACTTGGGCTACTTCTCACTTAGACTAATTCTCATTAGAGCAACTTCTCAAAATTTGGGAATGTTTATTAAAATAAGTACTGTCTTTTTGTATATAAATCATGTTTTTTCATTCATAACTCATTAGGGAGTCGGTTGCCAAAATGAGAATTAGCCTTAATCCCTAAACTCTTTTTTCGAGTTGTATAATCGCGAGTTTTGCTATGATATACGCACAGTACGCAAAGTCAATATTTTCGAAAACTCGAAACAAATTATAGCACGGTTCAAGTGGCGCGGGTTCTATTCGCACACAAAACAACTGTTTGTGTTCTCCACAAAATTTTATTTAGTGTCTGGGTGAAATTGTACGTTTGTAAATGCACCTTGGAGAAAATCCAGAGCGTCAACATTTCGTAACAAATTAAAAAAATATTTTTGTTTTACTGTCTAAGTAAAGCAACTAGCTATTCATTAAAACAGACTAACTGTTGTTTATGCTACACTTTAACCAGTGGAATTAATAAGTCTCTCTCTCTTATAACTGAACCAATACTTTTTTTTAACACGTTTTCCACTCTATTTAAGAAACAACTGAGCACCTGTCATCATTTTAAAATATACGGGTGTCGAACCCACCATTAGATAGGCAGTCCCATTTATCCCCAATTGACGAACGACGCAGCCACACGGTGTCCAATAATTACTTTTGCTGCCAAACGCATTAAAAAAGACAAAACAATTTTATTGCTTTACAATTTTGTGCTTACAACGCAACGTCCAAAAATACAACATATTTGTCAAAAACATAATATTTCTGGTAACAAAGTCTACCAAAACATATATTTAACGTAAACAATCCGAGTTCATCGTCTCGCACGTCTTTCTTGTTGATCAGCACATCTATTTTAGAATCCGTGCAACAAACACAAGTGGGCGTGGTCCTGCGCAATAACGAGCTTCGAGAAATATTATGTAGCCTAGTATGCTAAGAAAATGCATGTGATATTTCAGGGAAAGTATTTTAAGACGCTCATTAGGAATGACAATCAACGATAAATGTTTTACGCACTCTCAAGCGAGGATCTTTTTTGTGGGTAGCGAAAAACGCTGAATTGGCTACCCCGCCCTAGATGGGGCGAAAAGTTGTGACAGACTAATAATAAAACCAGTCCATTACTTCTCCTGCTCCGTGTGTAGACCGTTTAATGCGCTTGCACCCACAACCTCGGCTGAAGCACAAGTTGGACACCACCTGTGGTGGTCTAATAGCTCCTTGAGGTATGATTTTCGAAAGCTCCGCGCCGTATCGCCTCCTTTACTACTGACGTTCTACAGGATCATGGATGGCAGAACCTCTAAATACAACTACCTCTGCAGAAGGCGTTTGAAATTACGAGCAGCTTCTTCGCCTCAAGATCCCATGGCGGTGATCTAAGTCAAGGAGGTTCGCTGCCTTCCCAAAGATCATGCGATATCCATGAATGATACGTATGGCCATGGCTGTAAGGGTTATTGTGTATCGCACTATCTCTAATATATGCACACAACATTCGGCTGGAGGCGTTACGCCTGGTTGGAAAGGAGCGTAGGCCCTATATGTTTTAACTTGAAAATAGTCCACGAAGTTCCAAGGGCTGTCGAGGACGAAATCAAGATGTTCAAGACCCATTCGGAAGTGGCGACCCATCCAATAGCCATGGATGCCAGTATGCTATACAGGTCCTCATTGCTAGACATTGTAAAGTATTATTTTCTTCCACGCTGGTAAGAAGTCGGTGGCGAGCCAGAAAGGGTTGTAATGCTGACTCGAGAGACATTCAAAATACTTAGCGGTGCAAAGTAATTATGTAGGTAAGTGTCTACTCCAGTGATCCAGCGTCTATTTCTGTACAACTATGATAAATGTGTCACCGGTGGTTGAGACGTGATTTGTTGATATGAGTGACGTAATAACTGACAGGTGTACGTTAGAACTGTTAGCGACATTTTAAAAACAAAATTATTTACCTGTTTAATACTTTAAACATTTACAAAAAGTTATTTTCAAACAGAGGTGAATGTTTTAATCAAAATTAGTTTTAAAAAATCATCGATTTTAGTATAAACACATACAACACATTCGTATTATGCTAGCTGATTTTCAATAATTAATAACGATAAATATTTGAAAAGAACATGACGTCACAACACTTAAATCTCTCACATCTCGTACCTACACAATTCTCAACAATCCCGAAAAACTTCCACAAAAAAAAAAACAATTAGAAGAAGTATCGAATTTAACTGGTAGTCAAATTCAGGAGACAAGGCATTTATGTTTTATCCCTTTCCTAAACAAAACTATTTAAATATTTTGCACACTTTTGAACAACTTTGTACACAAATTAAAACTTCTGAATTGTTCCATTTTTAGTAGAAAATTCTGGATAATTATTATTAGACTCATATAAACTCACGTCAGGTCTCTTACCTGTACTACAGAGAAGTAAGTATAAGAAAGCAATAGTATTTGCAACAGTTAAATTTGAATTTAGAATTGAGAAAAAGTTATACGCGTCGTCATGAGACCTCCAAAGCTTTGATCAATTAAAAAAATCAACAGTGTAGTTTTAATTTTCGAATATTTACTTACTTGAAATGTTATATGTCATAAAATATCCAACACTAAACTTCAATTCATATAAGAATCTATGCACTGAATAACGATGAACCAAAAATATCAAATAATTGTTTAAAATTATGAAAAAAAGTTTTGTTTTTTTGTAATTGCACAAGAACGTCCGTTCCAGAGGTGTTTTCAACAACTTTTCACGGACGATGTGTCTGCGCAGCTCTCGAAGTATTTACGTTTATATTGTAGTATAAAAGTATAACACGCGTTCACACACGTAAGCATACGACCCACGGATGAAACTTAAACTTTTTTATTCGATTCTTCTAGAATAATAGAATAAAAAATTTGAGGGATAAGCCCTTAAACTTTTTTTTCATAAGAACATCCGCTATGTACCAAATAAATTTGAATACAGAACAGTAATTTGTGTGCACTATATATATACCACATTAGTTTATTAGAATTATTGTGAACATATCTAAGTTGTGGAACAGGCCCTATGTGATAAATAACATATTATCATGTCCGAAAGTAGAATTAACTACAACGCAAGAAAAACTAAGATGACAATTTAAAACCCGACTAAATCCAATCTTTTACAGGCATTTTTAAAGAGTATTTATTACCTTTTATAAGTACCTACATATGTAGACTATTGCATTGTAAGTTTATTTCTTAACATAGAAAAAAAATATACCTTAAAGTAACGTATTTAAGTCTCATTAAAAAAAGAACATAACGTGCATTAATGTCTATTATAATATATGAATAAAATAACTAATTCAACAATCTTGCGAATAGCAAATTGATTCTGACTGCACGGTTGGTGCGGCAACTGGGCAACTGGGCAACTGGCTGCCGTGCAACGTGTCGCGGGTTCGATTCCCGCACCAAACAAGTCTTTGTGTGATCCACAAATTGTTGTTGCGGGTCTGGGTGTCATGTGTATCTGAAATTGTATGTTTGTAACCGCACCCACGACACAGGAGAAAATCCAAGTGTAGGCCAAAGTTTTTTGAAAAGAAAAAAAAAAATATTCCGAAATGTCAAAAACGACAAATTATTATGAATTTTGTATGAAATAGCACTTTGTACACACTTTTTTTTAATATGTATACATTAGGAAAAGGAGTATTTATTAAATCGTAACATTAATGTATAAAGGAATGAATGAAAAAATCTACCTCATTGAATATCGTTACTTCAAATTACATTTTATTAATGAAATTGTACATCTTCCAGACAAGTTTTTTTGTGAACAGCACTGAATAAAACTCGTTGCGTAGGCGCTGTTTACGTGTTGCTATTTTTGACATTCAGTCTCTATCTTACCTGTAAAGCTATATTTATACATAGCAATTTAAACAACATGTTTATACTAACAACCAAAATAAACACGCCAGAAGTTTGTTTACCATATCCATTTTTTTTACTAGTCACTGACTACTGAAAAAAAAACACGATCCACAATTGGTTACGTACTTGTGTATTAGTCAAATTCAATTCTAATTTCAAATTTTCAATATCGAATGCATGCTATCAATTTTTTTAAAAAACCTGTGATATATTTTTTTTACAATTATACCACAGTAGGCACTTTTGACCGTCAAAAAAAAAAAAGAAGAAAAAGAAAATATATTTCAAGAGGTTTAACTTTATGCGTGTCAATCTGTCTGTCTGTCCTTTAGTGAAGCTATTATTTTGGTCGTTCCAAAGTGTAGATTCCTATGCAGAAGAACGAGGAAGAAACTCCATGGTTACTCTTTTTCAATCAGTTTTACAATTCATTTCTTTGTTACATCATATACTCGTAGTTGGTATCATATCACTGGCGTCATGTATAATTGCGTCAAATAGCAAACTTATTTCTTAGAAATCAGCTAGAAAAATCTGTATATTGTAAAAACAAATGATGATGCACTGCTCGAGGCAGATTTGCGTTGCACAGGAGTGACCACGACCCTCAGGAACGAGGAGGAGGAGGTGATTATCTTTTAATATTACTTATCGTGAGACATTAATATTGCTCTCGACGCGCGCTGCTCGTGAATACAATTAATTATTTCCTCCCTAATCTCGTTGCGATTTGAAGAGCAAATTTCTTTCAGTTAATTTAAGTAAGTCGTTGTTTCGGAATATAATCAGTAAGAAGGGAGAAAAAACTTTTTTTTCTATTGAAAAGTTGTAACAATGTTTTTGACTAAGAAAAGTAGAATGTAAGGTAGTGCAGTAAACATACTACAGAAAACGCTCAACAGTCATCATTACATCCAATGATATGATGATATTATAAGTAAAATGGTTTAGATAGGTTACCTAAACAAAATTCGATTTTCAAAAACGACACACTGATACACACATGAACAATTCGTATGTTTAGACTTCAAAGTGAGATGGCATGATTTAATAATCGCGAGAGTAAAAGAGACAAATATGAAAAAGTGCGGCTAGTTTAGCCACATTTTAATGTGTTACTTGCTGAGCACTTGTAACCTATCTAGACCTTTTTACTTATAATAGGTATCATTGATTACATCTATAATTATGTTCAGATATTTCGAAAACCCTAATATTCAGAAAAAAAAAATATTTGACCTTGTCTTTACTTTGCCCAAGTTGTAAAAGATAAGAATAGCTTAGAAATTGCATTTGTTGTTTATGAGAGAGAGGGAGCCCAAAGGATTAGCACTGCATGACAGAGATGACAGTGGGCAGCTCAAATTTGGCGAAGAATCAATTACCATTGGGGTAGACGTATTCTAGAGTAGAGACTTTAGAGATCAGAGAGCCAAGTTCCCTAATACCTATAGGAAAAGGAGAATACTCCGACCAGGCGAGGTGATCGTGATGGCCGCTACTGCCCAACAGTTGTACGTTGGGATTTTCAATTCGTATTTATTAGCGTGGAAATCGCTTAGAAATTGCATTTGTTGTTTATGAAACAGAGAGAGCCCAAAGGATTAGCATTGCATGACGGAAATGACAGTGGGCAGCTCACATTTGGCGAAGAATAAATCACCATTGGGGAAGACGTATTCTAGAGTGGAGACTTTAGACACAGTAAAAATGTAGATATTATTACCTTGCTTTAGAGAACAGAGAGCCAAGTTCCCTAATACCTATAGGAAAAGGAGGATTCTTCGACCAGGCGAGGTGATCGTGTCTGGCGGGCTACTGCCCAACAGTTGTACTTCTTCGATTTTCTATGCGTATTTATTAGCGTGGAAACTTGACTTGCGCGATGTAGGATTTGTTACGCCCTCTGTTGTCTATCTATGTGAGTCGCTACAAGATTATCACCCGGTTTCCGAAAGGCCGATCAATGTTAAAATCAATTTAATCTCTTGTCAAGTCATCTGATTGGTTGACTGAATTATCAACAACCAATCAGATGACTTGACAAGAGATTTAACAGGAGATTAGTTAATTTTAGCGTTGACAAGCCTTTCAGAAACCGGGTGTAAGTCTAGACAAACGTAGTGTAAAGCACCCTCCAGAGGGCCTAACATGAAGTGTTAAAGCGTCAATCTTCTGGACGAGAAAAATGGTTGGACCTATACACATTTTATAGCTCCTTCCCTCTTTCTCACCCGGAAGATTCATGTGTTAGCACGTCATATAGTAGGCCTACAGGTAGGTGGACTGAATATCCGCAGGCTGGCAGTGGTAGGCTGAGACTACCTGAACATCGAACTCAGTGGCATGTGATTGGAGAGGCCTATGTCCAGCAATAGACAAAATCAGAGGAGGATTAAAGAGTTATTAATTCTTACCTTCCCTGTGGCACGATGAAGACTGCATATTTGTTGATGGCCTGTGTCTTCTTCTGGTCTACTACATACAGTGTGTACCTTGGCGTGTCTTCTCCAGGCTGCATCAGATCTAGAGAAACCTGCAAAAAAGGATATGATAGATGTTATTGTTTTTTTTTCGTGCTGACAACACTGGTGGTCGGTTGTCTAAACTCGACCTCTTATTTAAATTTATTTTTAAAATTAGTTTTAAGTGATTTTATTGTGTAAATTATATACTACTACGTTGAAGTAATTGCAAAAATACCAGAGGCATTGTATGCGTTGTGATTTGGTTGAGAATTAATTTGTCAAGTTGAAAAGTTCCTGTGAAATGTTAGTGGTCAACGGACGGAGCGAAAGTTTAATATAAATAAAACTTTAAACCAGGGGAGTATAAGTGATAACTATTATTTTTATCAATATAAATTAATAGACGCCCTTATTGTGCCCTAAGGAACATATAGATGGTCTCAGTTTGCTTCGCAAATTGTTAAACACGACAATAATACTTTTGTAGATACAATACAAAAGAAAAAAAAGTTTGATACTTTAATATACATATTTAAATTAGCCCAATAAGTAGTGTAATTAGTGTGATTAAGTTTATTTGTACTTTAAATTAATCACAAATTACAAATCTTAAGAAAACTTAAAGTATTAATCCAATTCCTTTGTTTTCCAACTACCTGCATACAATAAATTAAATTCATCATTATAGTACTTAACAGTTAATTTTTTCATCATATTCAATAATTTACAGCTTTATTATTCACTCCTTTGTTTTCTTATTTTTCTAATACCTTATAGATTTCATCCAAACCTAGCTTCAAGTAATTTTCCCTGTTTTTTTTTTCTGTCCTTTTTTTTTCTCTTTCATTTCAGAATACCATCCCTTCATTTCAATATGATGACTCGGTCTAAGGATATGGAGAGCAAACTGAGGGCAGCACTCAAGGAGCTGGAATCTTCTAAGCACCTGTGCGACCAACTGCTGCAGGAGCGGGATGACAGTGAAGTTGAAGTGAAAAACATAATTGACAAAAACACTCAACTTAAAAACGAATTGGCTGAATTACACTTATGTCACACGGACCTGCTAGAGCAACACAATGAATTATTAAAGAATGTTGATACTTTTAAGCAGTGTACCGACACACACGAACATGCTCTTAAACGCATAACTCATCTGGAGCATGACCTCCGAAAAGCACAAAATGTAATCCATAAGTTAGAGGCTACCAAAAACTCTGTGCTGTCGGTCAATACTCAGTGTTTATATGAGGAATTGGTTGGTAGTGGATCCGCTGACATTTGTGAACCAGCCATTACAATTGATTTAACCGGTGATGATACTATCAGTGCTTGCCCTGTATTCAATAGCCACAATAAATTAAAAAAATATATAAAACTAAGTAAAACCATTAAAAAACTGAAAAAGAAGCAAAATCTGTGTAATACAAATATTTACCTACGAAAACAAAAAATTAAATTATATCAAGAACTTGAATCATGTAAAAGTGATTTGAAACAACATCGGGCAGTATATGACATAGATGTTCAATCGCTTAAACAAGAACTTTTACAAAGAGAAATGTTCTTAAATGATATGTTCCAAAAATATGAATCTGCCCAATTGGAAATAAACAAACATATGATTGAGGCAGGTAAACTTGTGGATCTAGTAACTTATAGTGCTGAGAGGTATGAGTCTCTTGCAAATAATCTTTCTTGTAGCTGTGCCCTCACTCCACCTTCTGAGCCAGAAGTTTTACAACAACCAATGAGTAAACCAGCTGTTACATACAGCGCTGCCCAAGTAGCACACTTCAGCCACCTTAAATCTATTTATGCTATAGGAGTACTAATCATGGCTATTTTATAGACATTGGCATTCTATACAGGGTTTTAGATAAGAACTAAAATTCTAATAGAATAAAATATCTAGTGTCCCTTGTTTTAAAACCTTTATTAGTTCATTACACTGAGTTAAGAGCAAATTGATTTGTTATGGACTATATTTGCACTATTAAAAGCGCTGCTGTAGATCAATAATTCTATAAACTTATTATCACAAATACTTTTTGAGAATTGCGATTATTTGTAGACCAATTACTCTATAAATAATCAAAAAGGTCTTTATATGGATTTGTTAGGCACTTTTTTAAGTGTATACTTAATAGAATGACTAGATACTCTATAGTGTATACTCTAGTGAAACGCCGGCTTCCTCTTTCATTAGAGAATTTACGTTAAAAACATTTTATTTTAAGTGTATTGAGTATATAAAGGACAGCGTTCTGCAAGCATGAAGAAAGCAAAACATATTAAGAATACAGGAGGCTTTCGAAGACAAGTGGAAAAGGATAAAAAAGGTATTTACGCGGGTATTAGTGCGGAAAATTATAATTTGAATACCTTGGTAGGCTTGACGTTTCGACCCGGTTGCACAGGTCGTGGTCACAAGCAGACTGAAGACGCGATGTCACAGCTCCCTGCATTCGGGCGATGAATCTTCATCTACCCCCTTATTTTCATTTTCTACCATATTAGGCCGTCTACACACTACGCTGATTATATCCACAGAGTGTTAACCGACTTTGAAGGAAAGCGAGGTTGTGTTTTGCGAAGCACTGGATTCCATGTCGACGACAATTTAAAGCCGTCCTCCCGATTGAAATTATTTGGGCATTTCTTTATTTCAACCGCTTCACGCACAAGTCTTGTATGGTAGTGGCGATCAGTGGAGAGAATTTGCGGTCGGTGGAATTCTACCCAGTGATTAGAACTAGCCTGGAGCAGGTGTTCTGCTATCGCTGATTTGTTGCTCTGTCTGTATTTGACTGCGGCGATATGTTCTTTGAGCCTCTCAGCAATGGTCCGCTTCGTTTGCCCAATGTAGGAACTACCGCAGCTGCAGTTGATCTTATACGCCTGGGCTTTGTAGCGGCAGTACATCCTTCGCCGTGCCTACCTTATCATGAAGTTTAGCCTCAGGTGTGTAGATCGTCGGGATCGAATTTTTTTTAAGGACGGATCCTATCTTGTCTGTCACACCCTTGATATAAGGCATGAAGGCAGGTTGTCTGCTCACGTTTGGATGTCTGGCCCTCTTCAGCGGTCGTAATAGTCGCCCATCCCCTACACTATATCCGTTCTTTTTAAGTACCTCCTGAACATGGTCTAGCTCTTGCTCCAGATGTTCAGGGTCACAGACGTCATATGCTCTGTTTTTTAGTGATATCATCACGGATTGTAAGTGTTACATCGCGGTTATTTTAATGTTTTAATTTGTGTTATTGTAATTTTAATAACCGCGAGATTAGATGGGTCCTTATCGCACTGTGTATACCGAAAGCCAACTCACACTGATCGGTATCTACGGGCAAAGTCACATCACCACCCCCGAAATCATAAGCAATCATATTACAATTAAAATTCGGGCCATAATTTGTGACTCACCAGCTCGTGCATTTATTAAAGGTATTGCTAACTTCAACAGTCAGAACGGGTGTCCAAAATGTACATCGATTGGAGAGTATTCATATGAGTCGCATTGCAACGTCTTCCCAAGATGTGGATATCCCTTAAGAACCGATGAGGGGTTCCGAAATAAGACATACGGATCACACCATAAAATGGATAGTGCTCTTTTGCTATTACCTATTGATATGGTATTAGATATCCCAGTTGCAGACTCTCTACATTTAATCGATCTTGGGATAATGAAGCGGTGTTTAATGGGATGGCGCAACGGCTCTTTCAGTAACTACAAGACCAAATGGCGAGCTTCTGATATCATAGCCATAACGCAGTTGTTAGTGCAATCCAAATTACCGAAAGAAATTCATCGTGCAGTAAGAGGTCTTGACACAATTTCTTTTTGGAAAGCATCCGAATTTAGAACAGCTGCGGAAATAGATTCAATATTTATTTTGCAAAAGCGGGCAATCCGAGCGATATATAACTTGCCCCCTCGTGAATATCTGAGAGAACTATTTAAAACGATAAATATCCTAACGGTACCTTGTCAGTTTATATATGAAAATATTATGTACGTAAGGAAAAATTTGCAATTATTTGAAAAAAGAAGCAATAGACATAATTTTAATACTAGAGGCAAAGATAGGCTGGCTGTGCCACGATTCCGTCTGTCCAAAGTACAGAAATCCTTTATGGGGTTCTGTGTAAATTGTTACAATAAAATTCCAAGAAGTGTATTAAATCTTAATGAACGAATATTTAAAACTTATATTAAACGCGAATTATGTAGACAGGCATACTACAAACTTTCAGATTATATTGAGGATAAGAATGCCTGGCAGCATGTTGGTTCGGCTCCACTGGACAATACTCAAATATGTAGTCAGTAGTTATTAAAATTCTTAAAATTAATGAAACCTTGAATGAGTTTATTTATATAGAAGCATTCTTTTGGATTGTGAGTACGCATATGTGAGCGCCATGTTCGAGACAACAAAGGATTAAAATTTTAATGATAGATTAGATAGACCATCATTTGTTCCTTTTTATTAACAACTTGTCTCTGCATTGTTCTCACATAGGGGTACAGTAATGTATAAAAAATGTATTATTGGTGAATTGTTAAACAAATATTTTTTTAAAAAGAGTAACGATGGAGTTTCTTGCTCGTTCTTCTCCATTCGAATCTACACTTTGGAACGAGCACCTAGCTTCACTGACGAACAGACTGACAGACTACTATTCTATTTTGACGTTTTCAAAAGTACTTACCTATTTATGGTTTAGTTGGAATAAATGATTTTGATTTGATTTGAACATTTTTATTGTATCTAGGTATTGTTGTTTTAGAAAAATATTTACAGCCTGATGCTTATCAACATTTTTAACAACTATTTTGCGCAGTTACCATATGCTCCACTGAAGCCTATGCTCACCTACTCTACTTAGCATTGCTGAATCGTTATTTAATACATATATTGAATACTACAGAGAGATTTATGGAGAAGGCCATATGACCAGTAATGTCCATAACCTATGCCACGTAGTAGAGGAGGTAAGGAGATTCGGGATATTATCTTCATTCGATGCCTATCCTTTTGAGAATACTTTGCATCAT